CGATTGAACTGGCTTCGGATCAGTGCAGGTCTTGTCTTTGAGCTTTTTGAGAAGTAGTTTTACAGTCTTTTCTTCTAAGACCTAAAAAGGACTTCCCTGCAGTCTGTATTCCAGGCTGGTCAGCTGTAAAACTTCTAAACCATCGTTTAGTTTGGTTGTTTGTGTGGGCTCTTCGCCATTTCTCTGCTCTTAAAAGGTCGTTTTACCTTTCCATTTAGACTGTGTGACTTTTGGCTGAAACGTCGTCGTCACAATAGCATGAATAAATAGACAAAATTAAGTGGTTCCGGTTACAAAGGGAATACGAAGACGACTTTTTGATTAAATGTTGTCCTTGTTATTGCATGATTACGTTGTCCTAATAAAAAATGATGACTTTTGGATTTTTGTCGTCTTCATATTTCAGTTTATTTTTGCTCCCATAGTAAAGAAAATGAATATAAATTTATATTTTAATATTTTATAAAAAAATTATTGTTACCTGTAATTTTTGTACTATTTTTCTCGGGAATAAGTTTTGACAAGGATTTAATGCAAGGAAAGGTATTTCAGAGGTGTACGCATCTTTTGTACTGCAGTGTACTGTCACTGGGGGGGTAATGTAAACACAAGACGGATGTCGAAGCCTGACATGTGATCCATCTTTCACATAAATAATCAATGAAATATTCTGGTCATAGGAAAATGTGGATTATCAAAATTATCAAAGTTCATCGGATACTAAACAAACACTGATGTATCTATTCTTGTTTACAAATTCCGCCCAGAGAGAACTGGTTTCAATATGTACGCAGAGTATACACAACTGCAATTAACTTTCCTTGCATTACATTCTTGAGTTTTGAGAGTTTTTTTAATAGGTTTGTCACAATATTTCTGGCCCTGACAAGAGAACTATCTACTGTGTGATCATGTTGGTTTTTTTCTACAATGAAATCCCAACTCGTGATAGCTCTTCCTTTGCAGCTTGGTATTACACACTTCCAGTAAGAATTTTCTTTTCTGGTAGAAATTTTTGGAGTACTTGAAAAAAAACTCCAACCTGGAGAATATTTTTTACGCGTTTCCCGAAATTAAAACAACTTGGTTCCTCCATGACAATTATTAAAAAACTTGATATGTGTAAAATTTTGGATAAGTGCAAAATCAACCACTGCAGTGTACATGTGTATGATGCATACAGTACAATTTTACACATTATTTGGCCCAGGGATGTTTAAATTGATTTTTTGTTGATATTTTTAGTTTTTTTAAATATATAAGTTTCGGCAAACCCTATCTCAGCATAGAATATGTTAGTGTTAGCAAGTTATGAGAACTGTAAAATCAAGCATTTACCGCCAAGACAATAAGGTGAAACGTCCGGCTATCAGAAGACATATAAATCTTGTTACCACAATGTTCTCGTTTACAGCTTTAGGTTTAAATGAATAATTGTCAAAATCCAATAAAATTTTTAACGTCGCGAAGAGCATGCATATTTTTTATTATTGTAATACAGGACTTTTACAAAATAGTAGAATTCAGGGTTAGTTTGTGAAGGGGTATCATAGGCTCTTGATTTCTCACAGTCAACTATAGAGGATGATGAATTAGTGTGAAAGATAAGTAAATGTGGATATTATGAAGCTTTAAAATTAAGAAAATTAGGATTTGCCGCTATTTAATTGAACATAAGAAGTTAACCAGGAAAACGGGACAACTTTTTGGACTTTTTACTAGATTACTAGGTGAATTTAAATTTTATATAATCTGTATGCAAGAAGTTCGCTCTATACCTAAATATTTCAAGACAAACTGCGCAATCAATAATTTGAGTTCAATTGTAGGTGGAATTGTTATGCTTAAAATGTACACTGTACAGTGTACACCCTTGTATTTTTTTATAATTCTCATTCTCTTTAATGGGCCAAACAATTAAAACAACCTACTCTGGTTAGGCGGGTCCAAACTACATAGTAAATTGTGATTTTTTATTTGTATTATCTCGTGCTTTGTAGTTGAATAAAAATATGAATGTAATGTTTGTTGCAAAATATAAGATATTTTGTAATCGTAGAAATTAGGGTTCTCTGGAAGGGTTTAGAATTCTGTACACCGTAATTTCAAGGTTTTACGTAATAAACTTTTTAGTTTTTATATGATAAGAAAATGCCAATGTGGAAAAATTATTAAGAAAGAATTTTTGATTCTGTCGACTTACGTCATAGACATATTTTTAGGGTGTAAGTGGACCTTTAAGATTTTTAAGGGGTTGACAAAAACATAAAATAAAATAAGAACGTATTATACAGGGTAATTCTAAATTGGGATGAGAGACAAATTGGAACTATTTTAAAAGTTATGAACAGTAGCAGAATTGAAGGAGTTGAAAGTACAGACACTGTACACTGTACACCGATTAGACGGATTCCACCCTGGACTTACCAGGGCGACGTTTCAATTGGTTTTTAAAATTTCAATTCAAACGAGTTTTGGTCAAGAATTCAACAATCTTTTAACTTACGGAGTTGTCTATTAATACTTTTTTATAATTCGACAAAAAAATAAAAGTCGAAAAATTTATAATTAGGATGAGGTCAAATTGTAATTTAAAGTAACAGATTCCTGGGATAAGGACCGAACAGTTGAATCAGCGTGATTCTGTCCAGTGGGAGATAAGGATTCTATAATTTACAAGTTTAATCAATGAGAGATATTAATCAGTTTGTTCTTAGTTTGTTATCTCCTGTTGAATTCTGTATCCAAGACGAGAAGGTTAGTTTGCTAAATATTCTCAAATACATTTTTTCCAATTTAAATATTTATTTGTTTAAAACAGTTCAAGTTTAAGGGGCCAACGTTCTATATCTTGCAAACATACAGGGTGGCGTTTTTTTACATAATCACTGATAGTGAATTAAGCATATTTTAAGGTTTTTATATATTTTTACAATTTTAATCTGGTTTAGTGACAACCATTGCATACAAATATTCTCGGTTTCTGACTTTTTCGTTTTGTAATTATTGTTAGTTTAAAGAGTTAGTTGATTTATTCCTTTTTATTTTCCAATGCAAAAAAAAACACAGGAAAAAGTATTTTTAAATAATCTTCACACTTTTGAATTTTCTCTTATGATTACATAACAAAATGCACCTAGTTTAAAATACAAGTAGGAAAATGTGTGTACTTATATTATCAAAAGGTTTACATCATTCATTAGTTTTTTTTACAGACTTAAAACAATGCATATTAAGATTTGGTCTATGATCTTTAACGTTTCAAATCCTTTTCACTTCTCAGTCTTTAATAAAATCACTATTATTAATATTAATATTTTTTTTTCTAATCTTTCTTATCTTCATTAATAATAACTTTATTATCATAGCAATTATTATTATTATTGCTAATATTATTATAATTTTTATCATCTATATCATTATTATTATTATCATTATTATTGTATGTATTCATCATTTATACTTGTCTAAAGCAAAATTACATCAAACAATATAAAAGTTTATAATTTAATACTAATACTCTTTTCTCTGGATATCGCATCTTATGATTGACAGGATATGCCAAAAACCAGCTGCCATACAAGACTTTTAGCATGAGTATAGTTTAGTTATTCAGAGGTGCGACACTGAACCAAATGCATCTTTTAAATCAAAAAATGTTACATTAACCGTTTTCTTGTTTGTCTCTGCTTGGCTTATAATCTCTTCAAGGACGACATTATGCTCAATAGTGCCATTAACGCCCGGAGGCCTTCTGTACTTTCTCATCAATATGATTATTCACTGTTAAAAACTTTTTGCAATGGAATATGTAAGAGAGAAGTTTCCTGGGTCATTCAGAACATTCACTTTATTTTACAGGGTGGCTAATATGTGGTGAAGACAATTGAATTGGAATAATATCTTATACGGAATACCATCAGGGCCTGGAGAGGACTTTAGATTTGTACTTTTTAATATATTTTTTTACATCCTTTGGGTGTAGGGGCTCACAATTGAATGGTTATAAATTTGAAGATTCATGGGTTATTGACACAAAGGGGAACCAGTTTAAACTGTTCAGGTCTATGTTACCGTGTGCTGTATTTTTCCGGGTCGAAGGTGTTCGCAAATCCTAGGTCAAAGGTTGGTTTCAAATTCTCCTGTAGTAATGATCCCTTTGCAGCTTGTTTAAAAAAATCCCAACGGTTTTTGTGAAATATTTTTTCTTGGTGTGTGGTAGTTTTCATTATAAATAATATCAATTTGGAGGTTTTCAAATTCAATCATATTTTGAGAAACTAATACCGGAGTACATTCTTAAAGTACAAACTGGTCCAGCTTGCAAAAGCTGGATGAAGGAAAGGGGAGACTAATGTTAAACATATTTAGCTTTTATTGGTATCTGTCTAGGGGCGCCTAGTCAACAAATCGAAGAGGGAAACATTTCAAGAACTACCATAAACATACATTATAAATTTGTACCATACATTTTAGACAAATACTGTTTAAATCCATGTCATAGAGAAATATTATGAAACGATACCATCTATATATAAATTTGGCTTGTCTGTCTGTTTGTCTGTCTGTTTAATTGTATCCAATAAACGTCAAAACGGCTGAACCGATCGGGCCCAAATTTTTTGTGGGACATCACGTGACCACAGGGAAGGTTTATGGATAATCAGAATCTCAAAAATTTGCCTCCATAAAAATTCGATTCTCATGAAATTTTTAAAATTTCCGAAAAAAATATTATTAAATCCGCGAACATTTTTGTTATTGTTATTGTTTACAAGGAGAAAATGTTCAGATAAAGCAAATGGTAGATGGGTGCGAAGCGCCTTGAAACCCTAGCATTGAATATTTGACTAGGTGAGTTATTTTTGTTTAACAGAATTAAGTAGACATGAAATTTATGTGTAGGAGAGATAAATTTGACAGGGTTTTAATACTTCGATTCTTAATCCGACCCGGAGCTTTCTCCAACCTTTCCTTCTCCTCTCTTTTCCTCTCCAGGTCTCTACTCAGCTGATTAACACATTGATTTTCCCTCACTTTATACAAACGAACAATTTCTACACGTTCTAGAGTATTCAAGATCATGTTTTAGCATCTAAAGCTCCCAACGTGGAAACAATTAAAAGTTAGAGAAATCTAAATCAGCATGTTACAGAGTTCAAACCTTAGTCTTATATATTCAGCTCAGGGTTATCAATAGGAAGCTTATCAGGGTGTTACTCTTTACTATACAATCCGTTCGAACAGTTCTTATTTATTTCTATTTATCAATAAAATAATGTCTTCATCAATTCTTTGCTAAATATTGTTGAATATTTACGCTGTAAAAGGGACTGTAGGCGTATTTTCAAGTGACACTCTATTTATAGCGTGCAGGTGTGTCCAAAATTTATAACGGTAATCTTTAACCCTTTATCTGAGTAACAATAAGGAAGATATTGTGTTTTTCATCGTCTTTGCAACATAAATCCGTAAATCACTTTACAGGGAAGCCACACGCAAAAGGATACTTTAAACATTCTTGATCTTGGACAGTTGTGTTTAAAGGGTACCGTTGTGAACTGGATATGTTTCTCTATAGATGGAGCTGGTCACATTGTCTACAGTTCATCCTTAACAAATGTTATTATTTTATAATTCTATCTTATGATTAAAATTTTAAGATATTTAGAAAGTAAACTTATCACCCTGATGGATTTAAATTGAGAAGGGATGGAATCTGATGAGAACATATCTAGGTCTGGAATAGATTGTTCCTACTCCAGGTTTAGGAAACCGGACGACTGACAAAGAAAACAATGCGCTTTTCGCCCTAATAAACACAATACTTTAAACTTAAGTGATTTAGGAAAAAAATTCTTTCCTAAAAAACCTCCCTAGTGAAGTTAGAAAAGTGCTTTTAAAGCTTTCTAACTAGTTTCTCCTGGTTTATCTTGGTGTCGAATATCAGTCTTGAAATTGCAAGAATTCAGTTCTTGAAACTTTGTACTCCGGGTCGGAGGCATGGTTCACCACTTCGGAAAGGTTTTGACGGAGGAGGAGGAGCAGGGACTTAATGAGAGTCCGTCCAGTGAGAGGTTGTTGGGATACAAATGTAAGAACGATTCCGTTGTATTTGTATATTTAAAGATTAGTAGGAGGAGAAGATGTGGTTTTTCACTTGATAGAAATTCTAAAACTATAAGAGCATCTGTGTTCAAGTTTTTAATAACTCATTATTTATTATCTCTTCATAAATGTCTGCCAAAAAATACTTCTAATTTTTAATTAAATTTGTTTGAATAATTACAGTTCAAACAGATAATTATAAATATTTAAGATATAAAAAAGATATAAAAACATATCAAAATATTGTTAAATGACGGATCTCTAAACCTATGTAGACAGCAAGGTTATATATACTATATATGTTATTGTTAAAGGTTATAAATGTATGTCATATTTTGTGCGTCATGATACGTGCATTAGCGTCCTCATTGTGCGTCATGATACGAGCATTAGCGTCCTCATTGTGCGTCCTCTATTGCCAACAGAAAATGTCTATAAACATTCGGAACACATATAGATCTACCTTTTTATATTACTATTAATCATAGTTCTGCCTCAACTAACTTTTACTATTTGTTTAAAATGAAACAGAGGGGATACAAATATTTTGAATAAATTGAAGAATTATAAATATGTTATTAATGCTAATACATGGATGTACTACTCATTGCTCGCCCCAAAATCCAATTTTCTATTTTTAATGTATTTTCAACCTAGTGCCGTAGACCTTCGATATTTTAAACTATGAATTCTGCTAGATAGATAAAATAGGCATGCATTTTTAATATTAATATTGAAGGCTTGCACTTTCAGGTTGCAAAGGGATTACTAAGTTCGAGTTTGTTTATTTTATATAATCAAGCTGTTGTGCAATATTAAAATTTCTTATTTTAAATTATTATTTCTTTATTGCATTCTTTCATTGCCTTTACATCCATTTTCGATAATATAAAACTATCAAAGAAAACCAAGAATTTGTGTTTAAACGTTTTCGTGGATTTATTGTTGTCTGTTTAGACTGTGAGGTGATGACTGAATCTATTCCGGAGAAAAAGAATTCTATCACTAGTATCTCATCCTTCTCAAGGACTAGCAATGATCTGCAGACACAACGTAGTATTGAGAAGGACATGGTCGTCCTCAACCCTGGTACAGAGGACGAGATCGAGGTGTGGGGGTACAAGAGGAACCCTTTCAAGGAGTTCTTGACCCTCCTGGTTGTGATCTGTAGCTTTGGTATGGTTGGATTGTTCCTGTACTGGGTTGAACACTACAGGCTCTACTGTACATCTTCTCTTTGTTCTCTTAGAGATGCAACCAGTGTTCTTATTGTGGTGAGTTGTTTTAATTTTAGAATATTAAAGGGATTGTAACCTAAATTTAGAATATTAAAGGTATTGTAACTTAGTTTTAGAATGTTAAAGGGATTGTAACCTAATTTTAGAATATTAAAGGGATTGTAATCTAATTTTAGAATATTAAAGGGATTGTAACCTAATTTTAGAATATTAAAGGGATTGTAACCTAATTTTTTAATATTAAAGGGATTGTAACCTAATTTTAGAATATTAAAGGGATTGTAACCTAATTTTAGAATATTAAAGGGATTGTAAGCTAATTTTACTGAGCCTGTTTTAAGAGTCCAACGAATGATTCACAAAGAATGAGACTTTAAAGACGACCTAAAACTTTTAAAAATTATCAATTAACAATGGTTTACTATAATTTTGCAAAGAAAGAATGTTTCAACTGCAAGAATACAAGAAAAACTTCTGTACAGTCCATTGTAAACTTCTGTACAGTTCATTGTAAACTTCTGTACAGTTCATTGTAAACTTCTGTACAGTTCATTGTAAACTTCTGTACAGTCCATTGTAAACTTCTGTACAGTTCATCGTAAACTTCTGTTCAGTTCATTGGAAACTTCTGTACAGTCCATTTTAAACTTCTGTACAGTTCATTGTAAACTTCTGTACAGTTCATTGTAAACTTCTGTTCAGTCCATTGTAAACTTCTGTTCAGTCCATTGTAAACTTCTGTACAGTCCATTGTAAACTTCTGTTCAGTCCATTGTAAACTTCTGTTCAGTTCATTGTAAACTTCTGTACAGTTTATTGTAAATTTCTGTACAGTCCATTGTAAATTTCTGTTCAGTCCATTGTAAACTTCTGTTCAGTCCATTGTAAACTTCTGTTCAGTCCATTGTAAACTTCTGTACAGTCCATTGTAAACTTCTTTACAGTTCATTTTAAACTTCTGTACAGTTCATTGTAAACTTCGGTTCACTTCAAAGTCTCTTAAAGTTACGTTAATAACCCTGTTAGTTCAAAAATTAGGTAAAATCCTTTGTTTTTTAACACAAAATTCGATATCGTTTAATACCTACAATTTTTTTTTAAATAATTAGTGTTAGAAATAATGACTTACTTTTTCAAATGGTGCCTTTATCAGTCAAAGTATCGAAATATTTTGATGAAATATTTAGATTTTAATCAAGCTTTTTATCTAAAATTCATCGAATAAATGGACAAATTAGTAGCTTTCTAATCTAAACACTTTAATTATTTTACAAAAACTTTCCTAAAACATTCTAATTGTTTGTCTTCATGTTCTACTCAGACTTATTCAGCTTTGTTTCATTTCTGAATAATTTATACAAAAAATACTGGGTTTTTTCGGTTTAATTCCACAGGTCAAGGAGATCAATTAATTATTCATAAACTAATCAGATTCAGTTTAAAACTTAACCATGGATACTTTTGTACTTATTTAGAGACTTAAACCTGAGACTTATAGGCTTCTTTAGGACGAAAACGGGGAGAACAAGAGACATGGTTGAACCACTTCTTTTAGCTTGAACTAGCTTGAAGTGGTTTAGCTACTCGTTATACATCAAATCCATGGTCATGTGGACCTTTCTTGTTTCAAACATTTTTAATTAAGAATCTGTCCAAGTTTGAAATATTTACGGTTTTTACCCATAGGTTGCTTGGATATAGGAAATAGAAAATAGAATTTGAAAAGAGAGTAAAATCAGTTTCAATTTGTAGATATTATCAAAAATTAGCTGAATTAAGAAAAGTATGATATCTTTCTTATATTATCTAGATTTCTTACATAGTTTTCTTATCCCTGATAAATTAGAATCTAGGAAAGCCTACTGAAACCAACCAGGGTTTCTAAAAAATGTCGTGTATCGAAATACTACCTTCATTTTTTTGACACTCTACATTGTACAGTGTACCTTCTACCGTACTGTATGAATGAATATGAGCAAATACGCGGCCGAAGAAGGGTGCTGGTGTGACGGGGATTAACTATAAAAATATATCGCTATTATTCTCTTTTTGATATAAACCATCCCAACGGACCTGAAAAGTGCATTCGAATTTCTCTGGCAAATAAGACGCGGCTGGTCACTTTTGCTTCAAATAATGGACTTGACTAATCACTTATAGTTGAAAATGATTTAATTTTGTAACTTTTCAAATGTTTATTACTGTACGATAAGACGTTGCATTTTCTCAACGAAAAAGTTTTAAAACTGCAAAATCATAATCTTTACATACTTATTACTTTTATTCAATTTTCTAATAGTTAATTGCGGTTTTTTTAGATTTTATAAAAACAACCCAAGTATACATTTGGCTCCGGCGTTTTGATTTTTGTTTACAACTGACTTAACATACAACAAGGAAAATCTTGCCGATTTCTTTCTGCAAACGTAAAGCTAAATAAAGAATTTTTGATTGTCTAGAGTTACGTAAAGTATACGTGAGATAGTGTGGTAATATTTAAGGCTAAGGCGTTGCAACCCAGTCTTAAAAACTGGTCATAGCAGTCTGGGTCTATCCGACATAATGCACAATGCACATTTAGTCGTCGTATAATACATCAATACAATGAATTCAATTTTGTTCTCTACCAAGCTTTTAAGCAGCATGGATGCACATAAACATGGAGACAAACAGAAGCTCTCAATCAACAGCTTCTCTTTGTTTACTTGTAAACTTGTAATTTAAAAAAGCTTGTCAGAAATAATAACTTAAATAGAAAAATTTCCCTCATTGTATTGATATAAACGTCGACTACTGTACAATCATGTTGCTGAGGCAAGGTTATCAAACAAATTAACATCATGTTATATATTTAGGACAGCTACAAGGGGATCCATATCACGAGGTATGTCAAGAAAGTGAAGACGATCAGACACGAGGACGAGGATATTCTTATACCAGTTCAGGGAACAGCGGACTTCAAGGTAAAGTCGACATCATATATATATCAATTCAATAAAGACGACAATCTATTGCACTTTTGACCTCTACTAAGCTTTCAAACACTTACATATTTAATCAAAGAGAAGTTGTCTATTGACAGCTTCTATTTGTTTACTTCTAAAATTGTGATTTGAAAAATGTTTGTTAGGGATTGAAGAATTATTAATAAAAGTGGTCTTTATTATATTAATCTCCCATTGCATAGAAATGAATATTCTGTATATTGAAATTAAGGACACCATTTTTTAAAAGTAAGCTTTATTTTGTAAATATACTCAATGATTGGACACCAAATCGGTAGTTTATAATGGGAGATGGGACAATATAATATGGGAGATGGGACAATATAAGAGTTTATAATGGGAGATGGGACAATATAATATGGGAGATGGGACAATATAAGAGTTTATAATGGGAGATGGGACAATTGCATGACGTTCTCACATTTTCTGTGTTATCTTTTCATTGCTCAATACCAAAGTAATAACACAATCTGAATTTTATACAATAGTCTCTGTGAATTGGGTTTTTAACCGAAAGTTGATAATGTTTAGGGTTGAAAAGGAACTGTATCTCTTTAAACATATCATACAAAACAATATTTAACAACAAAAAACAATCTAAGATTTTTTATTTCTAGAATGTGAATACAATCCGGTTTTTTAACATAAAGAAACGAAAATATATTTGGAGTAACGAGGATATGAAGTTTGTTGAATGTCAGGGGATGGATAAAAATATCCGTCTGGTTCAGCTACACAGCTACTCTGCTGGCATCTCGGAGCAGGAGTCGGAGATGAGGAGAACCCTGTACGGAGATAATGATATCAAGGTTCCGGTTCACTCGATCCCTGTTCTCCTGGTCAAGGAGATCTTGACTCCGTTCTACGTGTTCCAGGTGTTTAGTGTATGCTTCTGGTACGCTGATGATTACTGGTTGTATGCCTCTGCTATTCTGGTGAGTAGGATTTAAAGGGTTTAAAGTTGTTAAAAAAATTCTCCATATGTAAAATACTGGGCATACGTACTCGTAAACCCATAATTCTGATGAAAATACACAGACTTTGGATTTTTTGTCTTCAAATCCATAGTTTTTTCGGAATTCGGAAAAAAGTTATTGGGTCGGGCTTTTCGGGCTTTTTAGTTTTTTTTTCTGATTCTAACGTTTTTTCTTGACGATTGACGAATGAATGTCTCAAGTTATTTCGAAGATGAAATATGACATTTAAGTCTTCTATCATTTGTCATGTTTCGTGGGACACCCTGTAGGCTGTAAGTTATAAAAGTTTTTAAAATAAAAAAACTGTACACCCCTACTCTTTCTTCCCATGTCATTGCCTAGCATTTAAAATTTCATTTAGTGCGCAGAAAGATTTTTTTGGTTTACATTGGAAATTCCTTCTAATCCAGCTATTTCTAGTTTGGTGTTGGAAGAAAAATTAAACATGACAATATTTTGTTTGCGTTTTGTCACATAATATATGCAGTCTGTAGAGTTGTTTGTATCTTATTTAGGACTTTGGTGCTACTTAATATTCTTTAAGCTATAATTTTTACTTTTTTCCGCCTTTTGTCCAACATTACCGACCTATGATTTCCCCAACAGAGGGAGGTTAGGTTACTTAATGTCCCTTGGGACAGTTAAGTAAAATAACCACCAGTTCTGCAAAGTTTACGGGGGGAAAATAGCGCATTTTCATCTCAAACGACGATAAAATTTTGTACAACTACTTTTTCGGGAAATTAACCACGGGTTCCCTCGACCAATTTTGTCTACAAAACATCCCTCGCGCATTGGTCTTGGGAATCCTTGGTAAAGTAAAACTCCCTTAACTTCCCTGTAAAGTAGTTGTAAATAATTATAACCATTCCTGGGGTCTAAAATATTTAGTAAAGTATATATATATCAAGTATACAGTCTATACCCCTGAAGCATGACATTTCACAAATGTTAAAAAGTGCTGTCAAGTGAAAATTTTTAAAGTCATTCTTTTGACTGGCTGATACTGGCTTCATTGTTAGAAATTTGAACCATGAATTTGTCTCTTTCGTCAATATTTGATTATTAAACAATATTTATTTAGCTAGCTGGAATTCTGGTCATTGATTTCAGCATAGATAATTACGAAATAGTTAAAATGAATCAATAAGGCTAGGGGTAGGATTTTTTACATTTTTTAGACGTACAATGAGGACAGCAAGATCTAGTTTAAATTTAAATATTACAAATATTGTTGTGTTTATTGCAGTGATTGTATAAAACTAGTTCTACAGCTGTTTTTTATGAAACGTAACAGTAAAATGTAAACATACTCTCTTTCCTAAATTCTTCCTGATTTGAATTAATAGAAAATATATTTTAGTTAACCAGCTTGATAAGCTTGGGTGCAGCACTGTACAATACTAGAACAAACCAACATAATCTTAGAGATACCATCATCAGCAGCGAATCCGTTATCGTCTTTCGTCCGGACGGATCCAAGGAGACGATCATGTCCAAGGATCTGGTTCCTGGAGATCTTATCGAGGTCCCTGATCATGGTTGTCAGATGCACTGTGATGCAGTATTGGTTGAGGGTCAGGCAATCATGAATGAATCCATGTTGACGGGGGAGAGTGTCCCCATCACTAAAACCAGCGCCGTCAACGAGGACGAGAGATACAACAGCAAGGAGCATGAGAAGCACACCTTGAAATGTGGAACCCAGGTTATCCAGACTAGGAAGAAGAAGGATCAAATCGTTAAAGCAGTTGTAATCAGAACCGGATACTTGACTACTAAAGGAGATCTGGTTCGATCCATCCTGTATCCTCCTCCAGTGGACTTCCAGTTTGAATCTGACAGCTACAAATTTGTTATATTCCTAGCGTGTGTTGCTACGGTGGGAATGATCTATACGCTAGCTAAGATGGTTATTATTGGAGAGGATGGAAGTACTATTGTTCTAGAAGTCTTTGATTTGATAACTATAGTTGTACCTCCTGCTCTTCCAGCTGCTATGACCATAGGAATAGTTATTGCTCAGCAAAGGTTGAAGAAGAAGAATATATTCTGTATATCTCCGAGAACAATTAATGTGGCAGGATCTATAAATTGTGTCTGTTTCGATAAGACTGGAACCATTACAGAGGATGGGATGGATATGTGGGGAGTTATTCCTTGTCAGACAGGACTAGAAACTGTTCTCCATGATAATAATAAAACTGAGAGAGAGTTTTCCGAGCCTACCAGGAACATCTCTGACCTGAAGACAGAAAGTAAGATGTTGGTCGGGATGGCAGTTTGTCATGAGTTGAATGTGATCGAAGGAGAGACTATGGGAGATCCACTGGATGAGAAGATATTTGAATCTACTAAATGGAGTTTAGAACAGGACGGAGATGAACAGAATCAAGTGGTAAGATCAGTTTCCTAAATGATACTAACCAAATATTAATATTAAAGATTTTATCCTTATATCAATCATTTTTGTTTAGGATCAGTTATTGATGCCCTATGTGAAATCTCCTCTGTGCCAGGATGAATCCGTTCTACAGGCAGCTCCGCAGAGATTGTTCCAGTTCAGCTCCGACAACCAGTGCATGTCCGTGATCTGTCGTGTGTTCCAGGAGGAGCTGGAGGGAGGGTTCACCGAACCACAATGTATCATCTTCTGCAAAGGGAGTCCGGAGAAAATTGGAAAAATTTGTAAACCTGAAACCATTCCCCTGGATTATGCTGAAACTCTGGATAAATATGCTAGTTTTGGATACAGGATTATAGGTATAGCCTGTAGATATATTCCAACCAATCTGACAAAGCTTGGAAAATTGAACAAGATGCTGAGATCAGAGATAGAATCTGATTTAACCTTCCTTGGTCTGATTATCCTGGAGAATAGGATTAAACCGGTCAGCGCAACTGTATTTAAGGTAGAATTTAACCCATATGTTGATAAACCTTGATTTATAATTAGAAAACTGGATCTATTTTGACATTTGTAATCTTATTCAGGAACTTCACGGAGCTAATATACGTCCTGTAATGGTTACAGGAGATAATATATTGACTGCTGTGAGTGTGAGTAGAAACTGTGGATTACTACAGGATGGAGATAAACTTATCCGAGTTGTTGCTTCTCAGGACGGAGATAATCATGTAATCAAGTATCATGTTATAGCAGAGGATGGAACTCCACTAGAGGAGAGCAAGGACAGAAAGATTAATATTGACAACTCATATCATTTTGCTTTGGATGGGTTTACATTTGATATCATTGCTAAACATTACAAAGAGGAACTTTTGCCCTACATAGCTCGGCGTGGAACCGTGTTTGCGAGGATGCGTCCTGATATGAAGCAGGAGCTGGTTGAAACCCTCCAGGATCTGGGATATTTTGTAGGGATGTGCGGAGACGGAGCTAATGATTGTGGAGCATTGAAAGCCGCTCATTCAGGGATATCCTTGTCAGAATCTGAGGCCAGCGTAGCTTCTCCCTTTACGTCTAAGACCCCGGATATATCATGTGTTCCACAGCTTATCCGAGAGGGTAGAGCAGCGCTAGTGACATCATTCGGGATATTCAAGTACATGGCAGCCTATTCCATAACTCAGTTTGTCTCTGTCATGATTCTATACGAGATATTTTCTAATCTCTCAGATACTCAGTTTCTCTACATCGATCTCTTCGTGATAACAACACTGGCAGCTTTCTTTGGACTTAACCGAGCATACGAAGGTCGACTGGCCAGCTCACCTCCTGAAAACTCTTTAATATCCCCCCTTCCTCTCTTCAGTCTTATTTGTCAGCTAGCCATAGTAACCGCTTTCCAGGTGCTAGCTCTACGGTTTACCCAGATGCAATCCTGGTTTGTGGAGTTCAACGATGAGGAAGCTTGCTTTAACGGTACTATAGCAGAAGATAACTTTAACAGTTCTGGACTCCTGGATTTGGAAAAATGTACTGCTGACGAAAGTCCTGTAGCTTGTTATGAGAACTATGCTATATTTAGTGTTTCACAGTTTCAATACATCATCCTGGCGATATCCTTCGCTAAGGGGGCTCCGTACAGGACGCATCTCTTTTATAATATCCCTCTTTTGGCGGATATTGTTGTACTTACCTCCTTCTCTTTATATTTAACCATTTCACCACACGTTGTCTTCATATCTGGGTTTATTACAGGATTTGAACTGTTTCATCCCCCTGAAGAGTTTATGAACTTCAGGTTGGAGCTCATTGGTCTGGCTGCAGCTAATCTTGTAGCCAGTGTGTTCTGTGAGTTGGTTGTAGCAGATATCCTAGTTAAGAAGATTATAAAGAAGAAGAATCAGTTCTATGATAGACTGGAAAAGGAGCTGAAGAATAAACCTGACTGGCCTCCTCTCTCCGATTCCTCCGCCACGTCCGCACCTCCCACTTTCGTTGCTGAGATCTCCAACCGTAACCACGTTATTATAACAGAGAAGGGAATATCAGATCCCTCGGATGCATTTGACAATTTATTCTCAACTCCGCCCAGTGCTTCTCATAAATCCGCCGCAGTTCTACTCAATCCTCCGCCTTACAGTCCTAGGAAGGAGCCGAATGGAGTGTTGGTCAACCTGAAACCTACCGAAGGAGTAGATTCCAACAGTTCAACTCCTTACAAAAAACCTGAATCCTCAACAACCTCTACTCCGGGTCTTACTGAGACTGATAGCTCCGTGTCTATCAGTAAGTTTGCCAGCTGTAACAGTATCCTGGAGGAGAATGGAGAAGGAAACCAGGATTTGAACCAGGAAAGCTGTCTTGTTAGCTCTCCAAACAAATTTCGGTGACATTCAGAAAACTGGTATTTTAAAAATATATATAATCATTATAATTTATAATTTTCTTATACTGTTTACAATTTTATGTTAGATATGGGTTTCTTGTTTAATTGAGTTGAGGAGTGTCTCGAGTTTGGGTAAATAATGTCCCTTTGTTCACAATGAATGTTTACATAATGTCATTTCGAATTAATTACAGAGCTGATATTATAAAAAAATTGAAAATAATCATTGAAATCGACACAATTTTTTAAAGCTTAAAATATGGATGCAACAACCATAGAGAATAGAATATATAGAGAGGAATTAAAAGAATCTCTCGGTATGAATATTTTCAGTCCCTTTCAGCCTGAAAGGGAGTTCAAAGTGTACAAATCATGTAAATGNTATCGTTAGAACTGACGAGGGTCAACCCAGACCGAAATATATTTTCAATAAATGTGGAACTAACATCTACTTTTTTACTCTACAGAGGTTTGGTCCATCACCATCACCGAATTTTAAATCTACCTGAACCCTGATGGATCCTATAAATTCCTTATAAAGTAAATACTAGAGGTTTGGTCAGAACTGCAACATACATAAATTCTTTATCATTAATGTTTGATAAACACAAAAATTAAAAGCGGATCCATAATTTTTCCTTAAAAATGTTGGTTCAACCGTAGGATTTACAGATAAATATGCAAACATTGTGTTGTTTTTTAAACGCGACGCCTTTCAGATGTTTTTTTGCTACAGTTCAGTTTAAAGCTTAAATAAACTTAAAAAGACTATTTTCACAGTTTCAATACATCATCCTGGCGATATCCTTCGCTAAGGGGGCTCCGTACAGGACGCATCTCTTTTATAATATCCCTCTTTTGGCGGATATTGTTGTACTTACCTCCTTCTCTTTATATTTAACCATTTCACCACACGTTGTNATTGAGGGTATAAATAGACTATAATGACGTTTAAAAAGTCCCATATAATCCTAATGTTTAGTGAGACTCCATGTATATTAAGTTGAATACACTGTTTACTGTTCTAAATCACATATTAATTACCGATTAGTGAGACTGAATGTTTCCGACATGTTTTTAGTATTTATTATTTCTATATATTTATATTTATTAAAAATATATCCTTCACCCTTCAGGGCCCCCCTGTTCAGTCCAGAACAGTTTTCCATTAGCTCCTCGTAACTCGGCTTAAAGGGACTAGAAGCGTAACTTCAAGTGACCCTCCATGCAAAGATGTTAATGCCCGATTCAAAATGTTACCCTTGAAACCTTGATCTGATCATTAATGTGAAAGACGCTGTTGTGAGAAGTTTTGTAATATACACATTATAGATGATCCTTCTTTTGTTATATGCATGCACTTGTTCATTATAGCAAATCAATCGATACTAAGTAAATTAAATAACAAGAAAAAAGAATAATCTTCAACAGTTGTCTATGTCCTGATTGATAGGCAGATTTGTAATAAACAAATAAAAAGACGAAGTTTTAGAGAGTAAAAACTAGAATCTAGGAATCAGTCAGTCGTCATCTTTCAACTCGTGCAGATCTATTATTATCCAGGATAGATCTGCACGAGTTGAAAGATGAAGACTGACTGATTCCTAGATTCTAGTTTTCTTGTTCGGAGATTTTCTTCTTTATCTTCGAGCATTTCTTGGATTTATCCTCTCAGATTCCTGCTTCTACAAAGTTATGGATATTTTTTATTTAAATAACATAACTTGAGGTTAAAAATAATCCAGGTTAATTCTCCTCTTGCTGCAACTTTGCCTGAGCTGGGTCGATGCTGGGTCCTTGTATTCAAAGCTGTTGCCTCCATCAGGTGTGCCTGCAGGTACACCTGATGGAAGCAAAGGCTTTGAATACAAGGCAAGGATCCTGAGCTTGCTGAGAACTAGCTAACTGAGCTAAAGCCTGCTGAGCATTAGCCAATTGAGCCTGGGCTTGTTGATAGGGAGCTTGAGCTTGATATGACTGCTGATAAGAAGCCTGAGCCTGCTGGTAAGGAGCCTGAGTCAGTAACAGGATCCTTACTAGCAGGCTCAGGCTTCTTATCCTGCCTGAGCTTGCTGAAAGGGAGCTTGAGGAGCCTGCTCTTGCTCGTTGTTTTCCATTCTTATTAGCACGTCTTTCTTGCTCAAATGCTTCTGCAAAACTGACCTGATTGCCGATTTTCGATAAGGTTTCCCGGATTTTTTGCTTAAATTTCGTTCATTTTCGAAAAAATTTAATTCTTTATTGCTTATGTAATTTTTATTTCAGATGAGTGGGAATTAGTTCTTTTTGTGAAAAAATGCGACTTTTTTGACAGTAAATCAATGTTAACTTCATTAATTGCACTTGAAATTTTTCCTGACACTCTTGAAACAAATATGCGCTTAAAAAAATCACCTCCAAAGACTTAAATGTCCGCGCGCGCGCGCAATAAAAAAAAATATCTTTGAATACTTATGTGCTACGTTTGGCCTAAGTTAAAAGTGCTTATTTCAGTAAAGAAATGCGGCAGTCACCTTCGTGGCTAAACCACAATTTTAAATAAACAGTTATTTAAATTATAAACATTAAAATCTAATTCATACTTGATCAGACAAAACTCTGAAGGGTACCATTGTGATTCAGACATTTCAACCTTTGCATGGAGTGTCATCTGAAATTACGCTAACAGTCCCTTTAATAAAGTATCGAGAACTTCTTTAGTATACTCAATGTATGTATATTAAACGTATAGGGAATATCTCTGTAAAGTATTAATTTCGATAACCCAAAAATTCTACGACTTAAGGATTTTTCCAAAGGAACTTAGTTTTAGCCACAAATTCAAATTTTCTAATCCCTATATCCTTGCAACTCCATGGTGTAAACCGTTAATATTTCAAACTACGACCATTTGATCAAACAGAATTCATAGTTTTAAATATCTAAGATCTAAGACATCGGGTCGCAAAGATATAGGGGTTAGAAAATCAGAGTTTGTGGCAAAAACTCAATTCCTTTGTCTTCTGTCTTCATATATCAAACATCGATATTCTGGTCATGCGAAACAAAATGATTTTTTAAATTTCAGTCAATTTGAAAGATATAAAACAACAAATAAGCCAGATACGATCAAAAACTGTTTATTTTCCATTTTTATTGTTTCTTGTGACACCAGGCAAAATATTGGTTTATTTTTTTAGACATTCAAGGTTCTAGGAAAAGAGTTGACTGAAAATTTTAAATTGAAAAGCTTTGTAAACAAAAGCAAACTTAATATTTTTATGTATATATTTATATAGCGTGGTCCAAATCATCAAAACTAGTTATACTGAGCTTGCTAAAAAAAGTCAGATATCATACAGGGTGTCCCAATAATTAATAATTCAAATAATTCTTTGATTTTTGTCTGTCTGTTTACAATTTGTTTGTTTATGTTTTGACTGCATACGTTTGTACCTAGTGAAACAAGAAATTACAGTTTACAAACAGAGTAAAATTGTCCGTCTTCACTGTTCGTATTGCTAAGACAATATAGCAACACATCTTTACAGCCATTTACCGTTTTCATAAAAAAAACTTTAGCAGACATAATAATATTATGTCTTTTGAAATTAGGTATTACAATGCTAATTCATAACAAAGACGTTATCGAATTCGTCACTGAATTCCCATGTTTATTGGGACACCCTGTATCGTTAGCTGATTTTACATTTTAGTCTTTTTAGTCTTTTATTTATTTTTATTCATTCACGAGCTAATTTATGTGATAAATGTTTATAAAAGATTATTTATATTATTGAATCGACATGTATATATTGTTTTATTAATTAATTTTACAGTCTGACAAGCTTGATTTTACAGGGGGGTGCCATTTATTAATCATTTTATACACCGAACATAATTTAATGTAATTGAACAATCGGCCGAACAATTGAAGTTAAAAACGAGAATTCTAAGAATTTATTTCTTTAATTTATTTGTTAGTATTCAAGGCTATAATGAAAGCTATGCCTTGGCTTGTATCTCATAAACGTTAAAACGGCTTGACCGATTGAGCCAATATTTTTTGGAGACCACAAATGACGATGATTAGAGGCGTTGTCAGGGGAGGGGCTTTGTGAGCTCAGCCAAATAGAATAGATTATACATAGAGTGGAATTTAAACAATCCCTTGGTAGGAATTTTGTCAGTGCCTTTCAGCCTGAAAGGGAGTTCAAAGTGTACAAATGTTCACAAATTATACGCAGTACATCACACCAATACAGTATGATCCCTAGACATATCTATTCCAATTTCTTTGTTTTATAAAGTTGTTAAATAACTTTAAACGTGTGTATTTGCTATAGGTTAATTAAAATCATTTTTTATCAAACATTAAAATGTAAAAATCGTCGTTTGTAAAGTGAATACTGAATACGTACAGAATTGTTAATCTTTTTTAATTCAGACTCTTTTGTGTACTGCAATTAATATCTTGTTTTAAATTAATTTTCCTATTTCAAATAGGGAGGCTTTAAAGGCGCTACGCACCCATCTTCTATTTTAATTGTGAACATTTTCTCTTTGTATATCATTGTAAAACAAAAACAATCAAAAAGTAATAATGGTTTCAATTTTGACAAAAAATATTTTTCTCAAAATTTGGATGATATTCGTAAATCAATGCAGAACACATACTGGCTGTACCAAGAAGCAAAACAAATTAGAAGACAACCCTAGCAAGTGGATTCTACTCAGATATCGAGCTAGGTTGATGGACCAGTAAAGAAAAAAATTGCAGTTTTGAAAATATCAAAATATTTTTTCCAAATCCAATCACATAGCAAAAAATGCAAAACTTCCCTGCAAGATTTAGGCAATATGCTTCCTTTTTTCAAAGGCAATTTAGATAGATATTTTGTCTGCAGTTTTGCAATATTTTTTCTTTTCCTTTAAGCTATTACAAATAGACATAAATTATGAATTATGAAAAATGGCATCAAAAAGAAAAATGCCGTTTAAAGCCATAAAAGCCATTTCAGGCTAAAAGCTTGACGCTCAAACTGAACCTTCAGCCATACTTATTTTATTGAGAAACAATAATGTGTAATGAGTCACTAATTTTGACCATTTCTAAGGTTTTCTGGTCCAAAAATGCCCCCCCCCCCACACTAGCAAATTCCATGCTACCTGCGGGCCGAAACAAAAGAATTTTATTTACTTAACTAAATAATTTTTTATTTGTTAAGTGTTCCACAGGGAAAATGTTTTTAAGTCATTCTTACAATAGAATTTAAGTAATTATACATTCTACATATAGAAGCTTCCCTCAATTTTCTAGGGTTGTTTCCCGCCTGCCCCTTAGCTGTCTCAGAGCCATTTTACTTTCTAACAAGACTTAAAACTAAGCAAACATAAATTGGATTGGTTAAATGTTTTCCTTCCATTTCACAGTTTTATGAGTCCCACTGTTTAAAAGTTATGAAATTGAAATTAAAGAGTTAATAGCCATTTACCTTCCTCATCCTCAATTTTAATATTTTGGTATCTTGAGTATTTTAAAAATATTGCTTTTTCCTGTTTGATTACCTCAAATTAAAAAAATGTGTCTTTTACAAGACATCAAACTGATTATTTTATGCTGATATGAACTCAGGAATGCATGACAGACTATCAGAGAACTGATTTAGAGAAAATCAAATAATTTTCAAGAAAACTTTTCTATAAAATGATGTTCCAGGTCCCAAAAGGTTATAAAGCACAGGTGTGAAGTACACCTGCAGTACGAAAACAATACTACAAAATGGCCGTTTTACACTTTTTTCGAGTAAATTCCACTCTATTTATACTCTTTGGGCTCAGCCTTCCCCCTGGACCAGTGAAATCAGGTAGCTTTTAGGCCCCAACGGTTGCTGAGTCCCTCCCTGAAAAGAACAAAAAATTTAAGCCCCCCTGGACATATTCCTGACTACGCCAATGACAATGACGTCTTGTGTTTACATTAGCGCCCAGAGACAGTACACTTCAGTACAGAAGATGTGTACAATTCTGAAATAACTTTCCTTGCATTACATCCTTGACCCAAGGAGTGTTCTATAGCCAGCAAGGGCACCCCTGCACTGACCAAGCTTTTGATGTGTACTGCAGTTATCTGCAAGACACTGATCGAAAAAAGTGGCGTTTGGTGAACAGTGAGTGTATAAATAGTTTAGTGAACAGTGAGGGTATAAATAGTTTAGTGGACAGTGAGGGTAGAAATAGTTTAGTGAACAGTGAGGGTATAAATAGTTTAGTGGACAGTGAGGGTATAAGTAGTTTAGTGGACAGTGAGGGTATAAATAGTTTAGTGGACAGTGAGGGTATAAATAGTTTAGTGAACAGTGAGGGTATAAATAGTTTAGTGGACAGTGAGGGTTTAAATAGTTTAGTGGACAGCGAGGGTTTAAATAGTTTAGTGGACAGTGAGGGTATAAGTAGTTTAGTGGACATTGAGGGTATAAATAGTTTAGTGAACAGTGAGGGTATATATAGTTTAGTGGACAGTGAGGGTATAAATAGTTTAGTGAACAGTGAGGGTATAAATAGTTTAGTAGACAGTGAGAGTATAAATAGTTTAGTGGACAGTGAGGGTATAAATAGTTTAGTAGACAGTGAGGATATAAATAGTTCAGTGGACAGTGAGGGTATAAATAGTTTAGTGGACAGTGAGGGTATAAATAGTTTCGTGGACAGTGAGGGTATAAATAGTTTAGTGGACAGTGAAAGTATAAATAGTTTAGTGGACAGTGAAAGTATAAATAGTTTAGTGGACAGTGAGAGTATAAATAGTTTAATGGACAGTGAGGGTATAAAAAAAGTGTACTTTTGTCGTATTTTAAAAATGTATGGGGAAAAATGTACAGTAAATAATTCAATTTATTGTTAGAAACAGGAGCTCGACTCCTACACACATCGGAAAATTTTATATTTCAAGTTAGTTAGTTGCTCAGAGCTTTAATTTAATAATTAATTAGAATTTGTAACTTTGGTAATTATCTATTGTTTTGTTTAAAATCCAAATACTAGTATGTCATTTTGTCTAGTTTTATTATTAATGTAGTGCAATCAGGGAATTATTTAGTATTTTAAGACCGAAAATATCTATTTATCCAGCAATATCCAGAAATTCGAAGAAAAGTAATTTTTTTTTCAAATGTACGGGAACGTACTGTTGAAAAGTATACTGGAGTTAGGTTTAAAATTTATATAGAACTAAGGATAAGTGGAGTTAGGTTTAAAATCTGTATAGAACTAAGGATAAGTGGAGTTAGGTTTAAAATTTATATAGAACTAAGGATAAGTGGAGTTAGGTTTAAAATTTATATAGAACTAAGGATAAGCATACTGAAGTCAGGTTTAAAAATGTATATAGAACTAAGGATTAGTGGAGTTAGGTTTAAAATTTATATAATACTAAGGATAAGTGGAGTTAGGTTTAAAATTTATATAGAACTATGGATAAGCATACTGAAGTCAGGTTTAAAAATGTATATAGAACTAAGGATTAGTGGAGTTAGGTTTAAAATTTATATAATACTAAGGATAAGTGGAGTTAGGTTTAAAATTTATATAGAACTATGGATAAGCATACTGAAGTCAGGTTTAAAAATGTATATAGAACTAAGGATTAGTGGAGTTAGGTTTAAAATATAAATAGAACTAAGGATTAGTGGAGTTATGTTTAAAATGTATATAGAACTAAGGATAAGTGGAGATAGGTTTAAAATGTATATAGAACTAAGGATAAGTGGAGTTAGGTTTAAAATATATATAGAACTAAGGATAAGTTGAGTTAGATTTAAAATCTATATAGACTAAGGATAAGTGGAGTTAGGTTTAAAATCTACGTAGAACTAAGGATAAGTGGAATTAGGTTTAAAATCTATATAGACTAAGGATAAGTGGAGTTAGGTTTAAAATCTACGTAGAACTAAGGATAAGTGGAGTTAGGTTTAAAATCTGTGTAGAACTAAGGATAAGTGGAGTTTAAAATCTATATAGACTAAGGATAAGTGGAGTTAGGTTTAAAATCTACGTAGAACTAAGGATAAGTGGAGTTAGGTTTAAAATCTGTGTAGAACTAAGGATAAGTGGAGTTAGGTTTAAAATATATATAGAACTAAGGATAAGTGGAGTTAGGATTAAAATCTATATAGAACTTAGGATAAGTGAAGTTAGGATTAAAATCTATATAGAACTAAGGATAAGGGGAGTCGCCCTTTAATCGATAAATTGATATATATATATGCTCGTTAAGTCCCCTAAACTTGAGCACTCTGTGATAATGAAGGGGTGTACTAATCAGCATTATGCAAGGTCCTCATCTTAAAATGAGTTGGTTGAGCTCTCTGGTCCCTATTTCATTACCCAATCATCAGGGTTTGATGGAACAGTGGTTAGCGTGTTTGATCCATAATCCAAGGATTCGTGATTCAAGACCCACTAACTGCAAAATCAAAAACTGACGAATTGAGCTATACTGATGAGTCCTTATAGGAGGAAACACTGTGTCTATGGATATAGATATATATATATATTTATTGTAAATATAGATGTATCTGTCACTTATTCAGACATTATAAAGGAATTGATTCTTTGCCACAAACTCAGATTTTCTAATCATATATCTTTGCAACCCACTGTCATGGACCTATGATATTTTAAACTGTGATTTCTGTTAGATCAAATAGTCTAAGTTTGAAATACCAAAGGTTTGCACCATAAGGTTGAAAAGATAAAGGGATTCGAAAATTTGAGTTTGTGGCAAAGACTCAATTCCTTTCTTTATTTACATACCAAATGAATATAATAGTAAAAAAATTATATGATTTAAATTTTCTGTATAAATATTTATTATGTATTAAACTATCAGCAAAACATTATAATTTATTGCAGTCTTACCATCAATAGTTTTAAGTTTTAGCTCTTTAAGTAAATCTGAAATTGGATAATTTTCTAGTGTTTCTAAAGTGTTTAGGAAGTGCTTTTCTCCTCATCTATCTGTAATAGTTTCTTTTCCTTCCTCTTCTCTCTTAAATAGAAATTATTGAAGGATGACCCAATGATGGGAATTGGTAGTCCAATTACTAGAACCCCGAAAATAGCACAAAAACAACCAACTAGTTTCCCGGCAAAAGATATCGGAACCACATCTCCATATCCTACTGTCGTCATGGTGATTAAAGCCCACCAATAAGCGTCCAACATGGTTCCCATTTTAGATGACTTATTGTCGTCTTCGAACACGTAGACTAGCGAGGAGAACATGATTGCTCCCATACCAAGAAAAAGAATGAGAAGTCCGAGCTCCTGATAGTTGGACCGGAATGTGAGTCCCAAGGCCTGGAGTCCAGTTGAGTGTTTAGCAAGTTTAAATATACGAATTATTCGCATAGTTTTCACAATTCTGAGTAATCTGAAAAATTGCGCAATTCTTCTGACATCACTTGCATTCTCCGCATCTTCATCCACCTCTTCTCCATTTAGCTCAACTAGGTAGAGAATAATTGTGATAAAATACGGGATTATCGCGAGAATATCAACCCAGTTCATCACTTTCTGGAAGAATTCACGTTTACTCGGACACGAGATTAATCGGATAAAGAACTCTAGAGTGAACCAGAGCATATAAACCATCTCTATGATTGTGAAAACCCAGAAATCTCCCAAGAACTGATCTTCATTTTCCTGGAAATACGGGAGCGTGTTCAGAGTTAAGATAACTGTTGAGAGAACTATACAGATCAGAGAAACCAGACCAATGATACGAGCGCCTACTGAAGAATGCGGTTTCTCAAACAAATCCCACAAACGTTTTTGAATCGTTCCTCTTCTTCCCGGAGGAAAGGTTTCAGCAGCTTTGGTTGGATCATCAGCTCCTTCATCCCACTCCATCTGATCCTTGTAGTCAGTCACACGTTTAAAACAGCAGGATTGTAAATAGGTTCGAGGTATTTCCCAGTAAACCATATCCTCTGTAAATGCAATCACACAACAGTCCTCACTGATATGTAATTTACCGGTTCTATAAAACTCAAGAATATCAGCAAAGTTCTTGCTCCGCTTGTTGAAAAGAAACTCGTTCCTCGTTGAATTGTATCCATCACAGAGCAATAATGCTTCTTCTAGATCTTTAGACTCTGCTAGTTTACTCAACCTTGTCTCCGGGATCTGTGAGAGTAATTTCCATGTGCTAGGGAATACCTTCCCACCAACATTGAGACGAACTGGAGAATTATGAGTAAAATGTCGGATAAAATCGTTATCAGGTCCTCCGAATCCTTTTCCTAGCTCTCCGATCCTACTTTGAGAAGTCACGGATTCGGATCCGGTCTCTCTCAGACGTTCAACTAATCCCAGGTTCTCCTTGGTCTTTTCCACCAGGTACTCCAGCTCACGGGATAGTTTACCCAGAGATCGGATAAGATCTTGAATCTGATTATTCTGCGCCATATTCGGATTAGACAAGCTCCGTGGGTCGGAGAGAGAGCTTGAAATAAATCCTTGATCACATTCAGAACTAGAAAATTCGCGTATACTAGAGAAATCCAAGGAATCTTCAGCTTCAGTAATTACTAACTCCGGTGATTCAGTTGTTTTTACAAATTTTGAAGATTCAATTAATGATATTTCGGTGAAATTAACTTGGTTCCGTTTGAGGAGGTTATTTGCTCCGGGTTGATTAATCATGAGAGACCCTGAGTAGGAAGGTTCTGGAGTAAACTGAAGGATTGTAGTGAAGGGACATCAATTTTGCATGAGCTTTCACTGCAGTGTCTCTAGAACCAATTATAATTTATAAACAGACAAACAATAGTTTTGACAGATTATTAAATGCGCATTTTTCAAATAAATTTCTAAGCTATTTTCACTGACCTTGACTTTGACATTTACATTACAAATTTGAAAACTCGCCACAAACCTAAATTTTCTACTCCCCAATCTTTGCAACCTGATGGTATAAACCTTTGTTATTTAAAACTTAGACTATTTAATAAACATAATTATAGTTTGAAATATCAAAGATTTATCACTCCGACCAAAATTTAAAAAGAGAAAAAAGTGTGTTTTTTATTTTTTTATTTTTAATGTGATCGAAAGTCAGAGTTGTTGGTTCAAGGACAGAACAATTAGATCAATGTTCCCGGCCCATGCATTCATACAAGTATGTACCATGTACATGTCAAATCTCGTTTTATAAGGAGGATTCTAGAAAAGTAAATTTAAAAGAGAGTTAAAGGATTAAAGTTAGAGGATTATGAATGGTTGGTTTATATTTTCTTCTTTTAACGTCCGAAGTTGATTTTATAGCCAGAGTTTTTAGTTTTATTCGCCAGTGACGAATAAAATAAGAGAGATGGGTTTTAATTGTACAAATAATTTATTTTTCAAAATACCTGGGTATGTTTTATCAATCAGTTTTTCTCTTTTGTGAAAGAAATCCGCAACTGGGTTTCATCAGAATATTGATTTTATCTCCATTATATTGGATACTCACTTAAAGTACGCTGGCACTTCAATTTATAAATAATTAAAAAAAATTTAACAAATTTAAAAAAAAACATAAAAAACTACTTCCCTCTCGGCCTTATCAGAGAAGAAGTTCAAGTATAAGTTTTTTATCTGTAATTTTTTTCCGACCTCGGATAACACAAATAGGCCTATGATAGGCCGGGTACTGTAAAAAGTCTGGGTGGGCCATCAAAGTAGAAACCGAACCGGCATAGTATAGGGTCGGGCCGATACTAGCACGCGTCACCAAGGCCGGTACAAGGGGTTCGGTTCAGGTTGAATTCAAATTTACCCTAATCCACAGTGCAGTGGGGTGTTATAAATTCTAAATATCTAAACTGGATGAAACAAAATAAAATTTATAAAGATAAAAAAACATAAAAATTTTATATAGAGAAGGCGTAATTGGAAAAAAGTGAAAAACTTCTCTCTCTTCTCCGAACTTTTTACAATTCTATTTGCAAATATTTGAATTGCATTGATATCAGATATACTTTTGACTAGATCTAGAGCAAATAAAAACTGAAAACTAATTTGAAAATCTATTTTTTGAAAATATTGTCATTATTGGTATTAAGTAAAATGTGATGAAATATTCTTTGTACACTAAATTAAAGAAAATGATATTAATGAAAATGATAATGCATAAAAATGATAATGTATGAAAATGATAATGTATAGAAAATTATATGAAAAAAAAGAAATGTATGAAAATGTATGAAAATTATAACTAACGAAATAAAAACAATAATGTATGAAACTCTCCGTAAATATTTCTAAAATTAAAATTTTGTCGGCAGCTGCCTTTTTATTTTTTAAGATATTTTAGAGTCTGTTGGATATTAGGACAACATGATTAAACATTATCGGATTAAGTCAACCCTCCTCTTCATAAATGCTCTTTATCTCTTGGGGATGGAACTGATCAGCCTACCTGCAAATAAAAAGACACCAACAAAATTACAAGAATCTGTTCAAAGGTGTTCAATATAACCCTAAAACTCAAAACAATTTTGTAAGTTACCTGATTTTATGCTGTCAGGAATAGATTAAATCAAAGTTTGGTTTATACCTGAAAATGTCTATAAAGTTTTACAATGTCTGGTCTATAATTAAGTATTTGGACCATGATAAAAAAGAAAGTTGCAAAGCAAGAAATGTGAAAATCTCTGTCAACTGAAGCAATGTGGATTTTATCAATTTGTTCCAACCTCGGAGCACATTAAACTAAGCTGGTTGGTCTATTTGCAACCTCGGAGCACATTAAACTAAGCTGGTTGGTCTATTTGCAAATATTGGAATTGAATTGATATCAATTGCGCAATGTTATCTTTTTTTACTGTTCATCTATATATAAATTTGGCTTGTCTGTCTGTTTGTTTGTTTGTCTGTTTGTTTGTTTGTATCCAATAAACGTCAAAACGGCTGAACCGATCGGGCCCAAATTTTTTGTGGGACATCACGTGACCACAGGGAAGGTTTATGAATGATAAAAATTTTTAAAAAATGTGTTTTAAAGGTTTTCAATTTTGTAAAAAAAAAAAAATTTTAAATCCGCAAAATGTTTTTCTTCTTTGTTTTAAAATGTAAACAAAAAGAACATGTTCACAATTTAAATAGAAGATGGGCGCGAAGCGCCCTAAAAGCCTAGAAAGAAGTGCGCGAATCGCCTTGAATTTCTAGTATTTTTAAATTTACGTCGAGAAGTAAAAAAAGCGTCTGCATGCTTAAATTTAGAATAGTTAAGACTACATTTTTTAACAACAATATGAATATTAAACCCCTTCAAATAAATAAATTTCAATTTTGATGATTATTGATTTCATTTTAGAACATGTCAAATTTTTAAAACAAATGCTAATTGTTTTGGAACATATCGCGATTTTAAGACATTTTACGATTTGAATAAATTTTACTTTTTAAGCATTTACACAATTCGGTAGGAAAACCAGTGTTTCGTAATATTTAAATAATGAAACACCAAAAATTTGAAAAACATATTGTGTTCTAAAATTTCAAAATATAACGACTAGCTTATAATTTAAATTTCTAATATTAATATTACATTGTTCATACAATTATGAATTAATTTCTAAAATGCGGGAAAATTTTTATTTAAAATCATCTTTATTGTCGAAATTTAAAAGTATAATGTGGAAACAAATTTTAGAACATTTTGGAAAATTTAAATATTTTCAGTGATTCATGTTCTGAACTGTTGCATATTCTCAAGTAAAGGATTGTTACGGAAATTGGTTTATATTTCAAAACGCAACCAAGATTCACATTCGTGATTTGTACGAAAATGGAAAACCTTGAATTGTTTCGAAGATTGTACGGGTATCAATTGAAAATAAAGGACGCTCACAGTTTGAATTTTAGAAATAAAGCAAAAAGTCTTATTTGTAGTTCTCGTCGTGCTTAATACTATTTTGGAAACAGTTTATTTAATTGAAAATTGCACTTGGCACAGAAAGAGTTACTAGAACAGTTATCATAATATTGTGCCCAAACCTGACACTCAGCGTCACATTTGGAAGATAAGCAATGTTTGGAACTTTCCGCCCCTGTAATTCTGCTTTAAAAAGAAGCTTATTATATCTAAAAATAACCGTTGCATCAAGATTAAAGGGAGTGGTCGCGAAAAATGAAAATTTACAGGCAAACGGCAAAAAATAAGCCCTTTTGATCGCTACTAATCTTAATTCTATCTGTTGCGTCTATAAGGAGAAAATTGTTTAAAATGACTCAAACCATAAAAATTCAGAAATTTGCAACATTCAACTCGGATCGTAAACAAATCAATTAAATTCCAAACAAATCAGCATGAGTCATTTTTAACAATTTTCTCCTAATAGACGAAACAGTTAGCGCTTATTTCTCCCCGTAAGCCAATACCCTCTTTTATTTTTCGTGAACACTCCCTTTAATTACACAAAGATTTCATAAAATTACCAATAAGTATAGCACTGTTATTTTGGTTTGCAGTGCTGTACAGTTTTTAGAAAGAAATTTTCTCTTTATCGAGAAGGTTCAACCCTTTATTGATTATATTATGTCCCGAGCTTTATAAATACAAATCAGAATTTACTCTTATAAATTTTATTTTTAACATATAGTTAACGTTAGCATTTCTAGCTTGTCTGCAGATTTTCAATGTTTGCTTATTTATTGCGGTTTTGCCTGCGGAAGATAATAGTAACTAGTCATCAATGCTAAAGAGCTCAGCCATGTTTTAGAGAGGCTGTTACTTTAGCTTTTAAGAATGTATCAGCAAACCCTGAATCCAATTTCAGCCATAATTTAACTTGTTTAGTCACAGTGGGAATACACTATGTATTTTTAGGTTGAGTTAAATTTAGATTTAGCTTAGAATAATCTGTAAGGTCTTAGATTCTTGTCGATCTCCTCATGATGTTAAGGTTTACAGGATAGGGTTCAGGTTTACAGGATAGGGTTCAGGTTTACAGGATAGGGTTCAGGTTTACAGGATAGGGTTCAGGTTTACAGGATAGGGTTCAGGTTTACAGGATATGATTCAGGTTTACAGGATAGGGTTCAGGTTGACAGGATAGGGTTCAGGTTTACAGGATAGGTTTCAGGTTGACAGGAAAGGGTTCAGTAACCTCGTCTTCATCAAGACACCATATATAGATTTTTGCAAGAAATTAAAAAGATTAAATGAATTTTTGTTAATCTACAATAATGTCAAAGACAATCGGATTTTCATAAAATGCCAAGAGTATCTAAAAGAACTGATTACTCGCCACAAACTCTAATTTTCTAACGTTGCAACCTAATGTGGTAGATATTAAAATTCTGCTAGGTCTTATAGCCAATTAGTTCGAAGTATAAAAGGTTAACACCACCAGGTTGCAAAGATATGGGGGGATAGAGTTTGTGGAGAGTAATCAGTTTTCTTCAAATTATTAACAACCTTTAACTTTAATGTCTAACAATGTATGATGGATTTTCCCTGTAATAATACCAGTTACTGTACTTGTCCCTGTACTGATGCCTGTATTCCTGGGTATACGGAGTAACTCGTCTCCTCCTCGCCTTCTCCATCAACTCATCCAAGTCGGAGAACCGATATAGTTCTGGATACATCTCATCCAAACCAGAGGTTCCGTTCTCTGTCATCGGATCTAGTTCTGGATACTTCTCATTCGGACCAGAGTTTCCGTTCTCCGTTATTGGATCTAGTTCTGGATACTTCTCATCCGAAGCAGAGGTTCCGTTCTCCGTTATCGGATCTAGTTCTGGATACTTCTCATCCGTACCCAAGGTTCCGCTCTCCACGATCGGATCAATTACAGGATATTTCTCATCCAAACCAGATTTTTTATACTCCCTGATCGGATCTTTATCCATGGACTGTTGGTTTATGAATCTGTAGGAAAATCTTGGTATACTTGTCGTAGTTTCATGATCATCTAATAATCTGAACGTATACCTCTTCTGCTCAAGAGATTCCTTAAATGTATAAAATATTTTAGAAATGAATAATTTAATAGATTAAATTAATAGAAAAATTAAACTTAGACTGACAAAATTTAAATTTCAACAATAAAATATTGAATTTATAAAAGCACGTGAAAAAAGTTTTACGTTAAAAGAAATGGAGATGACTTTTCCTTTATTTTAATATTTAGTATAAAAATATAAATATATCTCCAGTTTTGTTTAGAATCTTTATACCTGGATAGGGGTTGGTAGGATGGATTGTGGAGAAAAAGGATCAGGTTCAGTATGATCTTCTACCGAACTCTGGTTCAGCATGAGCCTGGGAGAACTTGAAAGGGGTTTGCCAAGAATATCTCTCTCCATATCTGCATGCTCAGCACCTGCTGGAGATTCATCTTGGAAAACTTGAAAGACTGATTCTGCATGCAGAGGTTCAAGGACGGATTGGAGAGATGTTGTTTTTTGAGTTAGAGCATTATCATTTTGTAAACCTGGATAGATGGAGTCAGGTTGAAGTTCAAGGAACTTTTTAGGTGCTGTAGGAGCAATCTGTGTGATGGAAGAGGTAGGTCGAATTTCTGAATTCTGGTCCTTCATTGAAGCTTTAAGTCCCATTTCCTCCGAAGGTGAAAAAGGTGAGTAGGATTGTTTTCCTTTTTGTGAAGTATTGTTCATGATGAGAGTTTCAGGTTCCATTTGTTTAACATGTTTATTTGAACTTGAGTCCATAGGGTAGAATACAGGTCCCATCTGTGAACTAGAGTCCGTTGATTTAGACATAGGTCCTGTTTGGGAACTAGAGTCCGTAGAGTATGGTATAGGTCCCATAGTGTTGGCTGTAGGTCCCATTTGTGAGTTAGAGTCCATGGAGTAGATTATAGGCCCCATTTGTGAACTGGATTCCATAGAACTGGTAGAAGGTCGCATTTGCGAACTAGAGACCATGGTGTAGGGTGTAAGTACCATTTGTGAACTATAGTCCATAGTGTAGAGTGTAGGTCCCATTTGTGAACTAGAGTCCATGGTGCTAGATGTAGGTACCATTTGTGAACTAGAGTCAATGGAGTTGGGTGTAGGTCCAATTTGTGAACTAAAGTCTATTGAGTAAGATATAGGTCCCATTTGTGAACTAGAGTCTATGGAGTAAGATGTAGGTCCCATTTGTGAACTAGAGTCTATGGAGTAAGATGTAGGTCCGATTTGTGAACTAGAGTCAATGGAGTAAGATGTAGGTCCCATTTGTGAACTAGAAAACATTGAGTAGGGTGTAGGTCCCATTGGTGAACTGGAGTCCACAGAGTAAAGAGTAGGTCCCATTTCTGAACTAGAGTCCATTGAATAGGCTGTAGGTCGAACATGTGAATTAAAGCTTTTTGTGAAAGGAGCAGGTCTCATAGTTAAACTGGAGTCCTGAGAGGAAGACGGAACAGGAACAGGATTCATTGCATTTTGTTTCTGTTTGTTAGGGGTTGGATATTTTATAGATGCTAGAGGTTTAATTTGAGAACCATGATCGATGGAGTAGGGTTTAGATTTTAGCTGTGAAACCTTTAGAGGAGGTGGGATAACTCTGTAAGGATGAGGCTTGTGTTGAAACTTTGCAGAATAAGGAGTAGAATATGTCGAGGCGTCACCAATATCTGCAAAACTCACAGGATCATACTCAGGGTTTATTTGAGAACTAAGGGTAAACTTGGGCTCCCTCGTCTCTTTTCCATACCCGGAGAGAAGGTTTAACACATCCTCTTTTAAGGAATTAAATGGATTTGAAAAATACACTAGAATATCTTGGAAAATGTCTTTTTTATTACTCGTGTTTGCATTTGTGCTGTGAATATAGAGAGTAAAGATTAGGATGAAACAAGATAAAACTCTCATCATCTCAGTATATTGTATATCTGGAGTCAGTTTAGCTCCGAACCCAACAGTTCAGAGGGTAAAGATGATCTGTTCTAAACTCGTCTCACCCTCGTGGGAACCAGGTGAGAACCGTCCCTCCCATCTCCGTTACGTTTGCTCAAAAAGTTGGGCGGGCGATATCCTCAATACTCAACCTTCCTGGACAGATACTGGAGTAAAGTGGAGTTTACTAAGGTATACTGGATCAAACCGGAGATAATTTCAGTATTTAAGTGTTCTTATAATCTCTGCTCTCATTGATGGAGCTAACAACCTTTTAAAAGTCTGAAACTTATTTCACTCCGTTAAAATGAGTTGAATTTTGTGTCTCTCGAACACTTAAGAAACGATGAGAGTGAAAATAAAGAATTCAACTCGACTGAACTATTTAACTTTGATTAGTTCCGCTTACTCAAAAATTGTCATCTCTTGGTAAAATAGATAGAGTCGATGGAGAACGTATCCTCTTTATTTAATGGAAGGAAAAGTTACTCACCCTTAAGGTACAACATATTTTTGGAAGAAAATGTGATCCATCAGAGTTTAGAATTTGCTGAATCGGTAGAATAAGTTGAACTAGCTACGGTTGGTTCAATTACTTCTTCAGCTATTGAACGGATAAACGAGAAAAAGGAAATATAGCAGAACATAATGTGAAATAAGATTCGGGGAGAGGAAGGTAAATAGGACAGAACGGAGAAGGATGTAGTAAAAAAAATAAAAAATAAAAAAATATCAGAGGGAAGAGTCGGAGAAGAGAATGAGTTGGAAATATATTTTCTACAAGATACAATGTTTCTCGCTAGGCAAAATACTGTCAATACTAAGCTAATTCTAGATTAATAAATCTTATATTCTATATCTACAGAATAAACCCTGTATTCTATATCTACAGAATAAATCTTACAATTTATATCTACAGAATAAATCTTACAATTTACATCTACAGAATAAATCTTACATTTTATATCTACAGAATAAATCTTGTATTCTATATCTACAGAATAAATCTAGTATTCTATATCTACAGCATAAATCTTATATTCTATATCTACAGAATAAATCTAGTATTCTATATCTACAGAATAAATCTAGTATTCTATATCTACAGAATAAATCTTGTATTCTATATCTACAGAATAAATCTAGTATTTCTATTGCAGAAACAAATATAGCAATTATCAGAATTAAACACTTTTAAATTAAGAAAAACGACAAAAAATATTGTTGATCAAGGGTACCGATGTAAATCGGACATGGCCATCTTTGTATGGAGTTTGTAATTACGTTTACAGTCCCTTTAAGACGACTAAATTAGCGGTTTAAGATTACAGAATAAAGAAAAAAAAAACATTTTTGAAAATTTATTTTTGCACATTTTGGTAGATTGAGTGATTAAGTATTTAAACGATGATTGTGTAAAAATATTGTATTGGTTAGATTATACTGTTATAGTGCACACGACCTGGTTTCCGGTCCATCATTCTTCCTTCCTCAATTAAAATATAGAATCAGGATATTTTTATCATATTTGACACAACGGGAGACTGAAGGAAGAAATGCGGGAGTCGCACAAAAAGTACTAAGGGGAAAGGTATAAAAGACAATTAGAGAAGAGACAGATTTTAAGAAAGGCAACTATTCAAAAAAAGAGAAGTAGTAAATTGAGAGAAGAGTGTAATTGAGAGTTAGAGAAAAGAGTGTAATTGAGAGTTAGAGAGAAGAGTGTAATTGAGAGTTATAGAGAAGATTGTAATTGGGAGTTATAGAGAAGAATTATTTAAATAAGAGTTATAAGGAAGAGTTACAGAGAAGACGTAATTAATAAGAAGAGGCAGAGAGAATGTTGAAGCACAAAGAAGTGGGAAAAAATTAAATGAAAACACAGGAATGAATTAAAAAGTAAAAATTTAAAGAGACCGTTCACTTATTTGGGTAATTTAAGGGTAAACTAAACAGCCTATTCTCTGTCTTACTTTTCAAAGACAACTGTGGCCAGAGAAAAAGTCGATTTTTCGTTCAGAATTCGAGCGCAAAGGTATGGTACCTGAAATTATCGAAACAAGTGAACGGTCCCTTTAAAAAGATAACTTAAACGATAACTAGAGTATGAGAAAAGGGAAAGAAAAAGAAAATTGAGTGGAGGAAAGAGAGGTAAAAAGAAAATTGAGTGGAGGAAAGAGAGGTAAAAAGAGAATTTGAGTGTAGAGGTAAGTAAAGTGTAAAAGGAGGGAAAGGGAAGGAAGCGATATTTTGTTGGTTAGGCGCGGACGAATTAAAATGAAGTTTACAATTTGGAAATAGGCACAAAGATGTAAAATGGTTTTACAAATGTAAGATGGACAAAATTTAATAAAAAGAAAGAGTTAGAGAAGAGAAACATTATATTGAAGTAAAGGAAATGAAGGATTCAGTTTAAACATTATTTTCTGATTTGAAATAAATTATGTTTGAGTACTTCCTGGTTTTAAACCACGCATTTATCAATCTTTCAAGTATTCTGCTTTGCTCAATTTATTTGTAGAACCCAGCTCTGAAGTTAAAATGATTATTTAAATTATAGATAAGACTAAAATATATATAACTTTGAAAGATTAAAAATATAAACCCGGCTCAATAATAAGTTGTATCATAAATGAGTAATTATGATAAATTTTCGATAATTATGGTATGGGTAGAGTTTTTGTGGGTCTTAACTGGGGGAGCTATGGTTGCATCAAGTGTATTTCCTTAATCTATTAGTGTTTTATAATTTGTATTGAAAGGAAGGAAGGGGTTTGGGTGGGAGTTGCTGTCAAAAATCTACCAAAACCAAATTATTTTTCTTGAAGAAACAAGAGCAGGGTTACTTCAGAATAGGGGTATATTTAATTAACAAGAACAGGGATACTTCAGAATAGTGGTATTTTTTAGTGAGAAAGAACAGGGATACTTCAGAATAGTGGCATTTTTTAGTAAGAAAGAACAGGATTTTCTTGAGTAACCAAGAGCAGAGTTGAATGGAGTAAAGAAAAACAAGATTGTCTGAAGTAAACAAGAACAGAGTTGTCTGGAGAAAACAAGAACAGAGTGTCTGGAGTAAACAAGATCAGAGTGGTCTGGATAAAACAAGAACAGAGTGTCTGGAGTAAACAAGATCAGAGTTGTCTGGAGTAAACAAGATCAGGGTTGTCTGGAGCAAACAAGATCAGAGTTGTCTGGAGTAAACAAGGACAGGATTGTCTGGAGTAAATAAGAACAGGGTTGTATGGAGCAAACAAGATCAGAGTTGTCTGGAGTAAACAAGATCAGAGTTGTCTGGAGAAAACAAGAACGGAGTTGTCAGGAGAAAACAAGAACAGGGTTGTCTGGAGTAAACAAGAACAGGGTTGTCTGGAGTAAACAAGAACAGGGTTGTCTATAGTAACCAATATCAGGATTGTCTAAACTATGAAAAAGCAGGTTATGCTCCTGGAGTAAGGAAGAACAGGGTTCCTACCAGCGGATGTGTTGATGAGGACTGAAATATATTTACGTCAGTTTGAGTTCGGATATTATCAATTATACTCAGAGACCTAATTGTCTTGTAAACTAATTATATTTTCAAAGAAAGGTATTTTTATTCACATGCCTAGAATTTATCCATTAATTATTAATATTTCATATCTTTAATGTTCTATAAAGTTTTTTCTTCCATTACATTCAGACATTTATATACAGGGTTACTTTAATGAAGACCTAAAATCTTTAGCGAAGATTCAAATTGAAGTATTGTCTTTAATATTGTCTACATATAATATCATAATGAATGATTTTGTAAAGTAAAAAAACAGTTTACAGATGCAAGGAACCTGGAATGTAAGATGCAAGACTTAATAAATCCGTTTAGTTGTCTCTGAAGTCTTATCTCTTTGGGGGTAACCCGGTATGATATGCCGCGTAGCAATATTTATTACTGAAGATTCCTGCAAGACATGAAACCTCATGTATAGAACAATTTTTTGTATAAAATACAGAAATATATATATCTATATAGATTCAAACATTTCTCTTTAGTAAGCTATCAATCCATAAACTCTTGTAAGTGGTAAGTTGTATGATTCATTAACCCTATCTGATAGACTTAAGTTTTGCTTGTAATTTGCCCTTCCCTCGATCGTTCGACGCCTTTCGTTTTCTCTGTGTTTTATAAAACTAAAATGACGTTTTTAACTTCGGAAATAAAATGGCAATTGATTTTAAATGTAAATCACTATTTGTTTATTATTCTTTTGTTTAACTTTTTGAACTGTGTTGCTTCACGTGAAGTTGCGTCTATCTAAAAGGTTAAGTTTGGTTTGGTTTTGTCTCCGAGAGAAAATCTAAGTCAAAGACGACTTTACAACGGAGAACTCAATGTTTAGGGTTAACAACAGTTCACAAGATCAAGGTTCAAAACTAAATTCAAAACAAGTTAAGCAGCAGATAGGGTGAAAGCAGTGTGGATTACGTTAGAACCAATTTAGGTCAATATTAAACTATTTTATGAAATGCACTTATACATCGAGCTCAGTACTCTCATCAAAATGTTTTTAAAGGAACTAAACTCTTTGCAACATGATGTAATCCATGTTGGATATATCAAACTTAGACTATTTGATCTAATTGAATTCAAAGTTTAAAATATCAAATATCTACCACATCGGGTTGCAAATATATATGGATTAGAAAATCTGAACTTTGAAGAAAGAACTGGTTTCTCTGTTAGACCCAGATTCCAACTAATAAATGAAGAGCACAACTTTATGAATATTGTTTTTATGAACACAAAGCAATATCTTAAATGCTGATTCCGACTCCATTTTTTACAATTTAAACTTATTATTTTTTTAGTACTTGATTATCTTTTATTGGATAATTTTTAAACAGAAAAGGAAAGGTTTCTTTATTGAACGGGAAAACCTTTGGTAAAGCTTACAGTTAAACTTCAATAGCTCAAAGTTTGAGAAACCCGTCCTCGGAGTGTTCAGGTTCATGTTTGATAAATCAGGTTCAGGTTGGATAAATCAGGT